AAAAAGTACTTTTTTTTAGCCTTCATATTAAAGGTGCATTCAAACTACTTAGATTGTAGTAAAATTGTTTAATTTATTAACATATTTAAAACTTTTATTTCCCTCACAATTAACAACCTAATTTTTTACACATTCGATTCTCACGATTCAATAATCATAAACTGATTTATAAAATGCATTCCTCAAACTGGTGATTGGAGTTGGATCTTCCGCCTCAATTTATAACCCTGCTCAACAAAAAAATAAAAAAATAAAAAAAATACCGTGATTTTCCACAAGAAGGTCCTCGTACCTAGTGGCTACCCCTTGTGTTAAACTTGATAAATATAGAGTGGAATCCCACCCCAACGTTAAAAAAAAAAAAAACCTGATTTTCCACGGTCTCTTTCATTAAAGGACTCAAACATTTATTTTATAAATAGTAAATCCAAAGCAAGGCACCTCTTCAAACAAGAACAAAACTCACCGTAAATAAAAGCATAAAGCCTGAAACTTTCCCTTTGTTTCTCTCACTTTCTCTTGATCCAACCATGAGCAACGAATAGTAATTTCTCATCTGTTCTCTCTTCTTTCCAATTATTTACATTATCTGTTCGTCTTCATTTTTATATATTTTAATCAATGTTTTTTGTTTGTTTGTTTGTTTGTTTGTTTGTCTGTAGCGATTATCTGTTCAAGCTTCTGCTAATCGGAGATTCTTCCGTCGGAAAATCCTGTCTGCTTCTCAGATTCGCCGTGAGTTCAATTTCTTCTGCCTTTTTCCTTTTACCTGAATGTACTTGTTGCTATTTCTCAGGCTTTTCTTCTTGTTCTCTGTTTGGTTTTGGTTGTTTTGATGGTGAGAAATGTGTTTAGAGTGATGAATAAGCTTTGTTTCGAAGTGGCTTAGGGTTTTGAGTTTATTCTTGCTTTGTTTTACTTTGCTTTTCCAGGATGATTCTTATGTAGACAGCTATATCAGTACCATTGGGGTTGATTTCGTGAGTTTCTGAGTCTCTTCCCTCTCTCACTTGATTGATATATTGATGTTTAATTGACTGGAATTTGAAGTTGCTTTTTATTTTTTCCTCTCCTAGAAAATTAGAACTGTGGAGCTCGATGGGAAGACAATCAAGCTGCAAATTGTGAGTGAAATATGTGTGATTGCTAATTTTAACATTTTGGTTCATTTAAGAGGCTTTTTTTGTGCGTGTTTCTGCAGTTTCCAATTTTGGTTTAAATATGCTTGATTCATGAAGTGTTTTAGGTGTTTAAGCTGGCAAGTGGCTTGCTTTAATATTTGTAAAAGAAGTATTTAACATGTTTCCTGTTCTAGATTATTGAGCTAAGGTTTGTTTTTTAGGAGAAGGCAAGAGCATTTTATTCCAAACTCTGCCCCAGTAGGAGATATTGAGCTAAGGTTTCTTCCTAAGTGAGAGCCAATGGTACTAAAATGTCAATTAGGTAGATAAATTTGATAGTTCTTATGTGGTTATATGTCATACATAGAATGGTCAAGAACTTAGCTAGGAGCAATATGCCTGGTTTGGGTTTTTTTTGGGTGCAGTTTGATTTATTTTATATCACTTTTAAACATCACTTTCTAGTGTAGAGGGAATTGGTGAAGAGGTATGTTCATATGCCCTTCCCTTTGAACAAGTTTTATATTTTCTATCTTTTTATTCTCTCCCACTTAATCAGTATATGTTATGTGGTTTTTTCTTTGTTTAGTGGGATACTGCTGGACAGGAGCGGTTCCGGACCATAACTAGCAGTTATTACCGAGGGGCACATGGGATAATAGTAAGATACTTTTTTCTTTTGACCTGTCTATGACATTGTTCTAAGTAGTTGTCTTTGACAAATTTATTATCACCCTATTGTTTGAAACTTCTTTCAAATTGACTAGTGAGGAGCAACTCAGTATGGTATGGAGTATAGGGAGCATAGCTCCTGACAGTTCTTTTTTCCCCAGAAAGATATTATCTAGGTAGTTTATTTCAGTTTTTGATCAGGCAAGAATTTTTCATGTTGGTCTGTAACAGATTGTCTATGATGTTACTGAGATGGAGAGCTTCAACAATGTCAAGCAGTGGTTGAATGAGATTGATAGATATGCTAACGACAGTGTATGCAAGCTTCTGGTTGGAAACAAATGTGATTTAGTTGAGAACAAGGTTGTTGACACCCAAACAGCTAAGGTATCATTTGTTGCTGAGCTTTTATCAGTAGTTTAATTCTTATGGCCTTGGTCCACTAGGATTTTCAACTTAAGCTGTGATGTGTTATTCACTAAGATGGAGGGTGCTGTTTTAGATATGAAGATACTAGGATATGAGAGCCAATTTTATGCTGAAAATAGTAGCAACTTACTGTTGCAAACAAAATTTGAAATTTTAGCATCCATAAGGGTGCAATGGTGGTGATTCATTTGGGGTGATAAAGAGAATATTTGGAGTTTGGACTGACTTAATATGAACTCATATGCTATAAATTATTCTTTGTCATTTATCTAAATGAATTGCAGGCATTTGCGGATGAGCTTGGGATCCCATTCCTGGAGACAAGTGCCAAAGACTCAATCAATGTGGAGCAAGCTTTCCTAACAATGGCTGGCGAGATCAAGAAAAAGTAAAATAACTCCACCCATTCCCTTTTTTATTCCTTCAGCTATTTTTGGAATTCTAAAATGACATATTATTTCATATCTTTTTCGGCAGAATGGGCAACCAGCCAACAGCTAACAAGTCACCTGGAACTGTTCAAATGAAGGGACAGCCAATCGAGCAGAAGAACAACTGCTGTGGTTAACGATTCATATTGTAACTTAGATATTGACAATGAATCGTGTTGACTCCCTATGAATCTCCTAGTAACTGAAATATTTCCTGGTGTGAACCCACGTCCTGATAAGATGGAACGTCTTGTGCTTGTTCGAAACTATTTCATGTTTCTTTATATTTTTTTCTTTTTCTTTTTTTTAAAATTTATTTGTTGTAAATAACTAATGCTTTGAATTTAGTGGTAACTGGTATCTTTGAGGTCCAAAAATAGCCTTGTGTCCAAATGCCTCCAAGGAATCTGTTGCTCTCTTACATATGCACATTTCAAATTCCCTATAACACCGAATACACAAATTACTAGCTTCAAAAAGCAACATGCAGTAGAGACTAGGGATGCAAAACATCTCTTAAAGAACAAATTGATTTAACTCACAACACTGAATACACAATTTAAATGGTCATGATAATACAAAATAAACAAGCCAACAATTAACCCTCAAGCAGAGGAAATGTGACCAGAAATGAGCTAAGAAGAAGAAAATTTGTAAATTAATTATCCTATCTCAGGCTGAAGAGCAGCAAGGCTTCTTGGCATTGGCCTCAGATGCAGCGCCTACATTGATTGTTTTCCCTTCTTTAATACTTGCAGCTGCTGGCTCCTCTGAAGAAAGTGATTTCTTACTAATTTTACGGTATATCTCTGAGAGAATCATCTGAAAAGCCTTCTCAACATTTACTGCTTCAAGGGCAGATGTTTCGATGAATGAAAGGCCTTCTCTCTCAGCGTAACTTTGAGCATCCTCTGTGGCAACTGCTCGGAGGTGCTTCAGATCAGTCTTGTTTCCAATCAGCATGATAACAATGTTGGAATCTGCATGGTCTCTGAGCTCCTTCAGCCATCGGCTCACATTTTCAAATGTTGTTGGTTTTGTAACATCATACACCAAAAGAGCTCCAAGGGCACCCCTATAGTAGGCACTGGTTATTGCCCTGTACCGTTCTTGACCAGCAGTATCCCATATTTGAGCTTTTATGGTCCTCCCTTCCACCTGACAGAACAATAAAAATTAGCCTACACAAAAGGCTGATGATGTTTTTTCAAAAATTTTATGTGCTAAGGTCATTCAAGGAATAAAAACAAGAAAAAGGAAAAAGAGACAATCTAGTTTCATTTCCCATAAAAAGATTAACATTGAGACCAGGACATTAACATAGCCATGTTACAGGTCGACCACCACCTTCTTTCAGCTAGCTTTACAAAGGAAAAGATGTATATACACATCAAAAAAGCTAATTTACTTAGTCGTTTCACTGAGAAACAGCCTATGAATGGATGACATCTATGATTTTCTATTAAGAATGCTGTAGTGCAGTCCACCCTGCATAGACTACACTACTTTTAAGTTTTAACCATTAATGGAGAGATGAGGCCTCAATATCAAGGGGCCCTCCCCCTCTATCAATTTTCTGTTTTCTATTTTATGGCCACATTATATACCTTTAAATGTCTATACTATCATAATCATCTTTTAAAAAATGAAGAAGCTCTTTTCCAACTGATGTGTGATAGGCATCCCAAGGTCCCTTTCTTTCATGAATTCAATAACCTTAGACAAAAGCCAATGCAGATTCAACCTTAAGTGGTGAAATCTCACCTTCCCTTCTCTTCTAAACTTTCACTTTCATTTGGGATCAGATTCTGGAAGTGATTGGTTTTCTTATCGGGTAATTAAAAGTAAACTAACTATATTATATAAACATGATCGAGAGCATATTACAAACGAGATGGATTAAGAAAACAATTGAAGATTTAAATTTTCTTCTACCATCTTATATAGACTGATCCAGAAAGACGAGGCACCAAGCAGTGATTAATCAAGCCCATTACCAAATCTCAAAGCTTTTTAACCATTGAGATCGGTTTAATTTCATATCCATGCTTCCAACTACAGAATATTATTATGATTTTGATCTAATTGTTACTGATCAAAGAACTTAGACATTATAAATTATTCCAATAAAATATAGGAAATTCAAATCTAATCTAATAACACTTATCCAATTACAAACAATTCAGATCTACTGCATGTTTTCAAGAAAGAAACAGCCGATCTAGAATTCTAAGTCCACAACTCCAAGAAATGAAATTCGAATCCAACACTATAATTTATAATTAAATAAACAAAATAATTCAAAATTTCTTGATCTAAACTTTAAGTATCAAGAAAAAGAAAATCAAATATCAGATTTGCGTACTAAAAAAGTTTTAAAAAATATATGACAAATTAAGAAAGGCATAATCTGATTTTAAAAAATAAAAGCGAGAGAATTACTTGAAGTGTACGAGTGGCGAATTCGACGCCGATGGTAGATTTGGACTCCAAGCAGAACTCGTTGCGAGTGAATCGAGAAAGTAGGTTGGACTTGCCGACGCCGGAATCTCCGATTAGGACAACCTTGAACAGGTAATCGTATTCCTCGTCCGGTCTCCTCGCCATCTTTAGTTTTCTTTTTGTGGTCGAAAATTAAGAGAGAGTTAAACGGAGATGAAAATCCGGCGAGAGCACGGCCAGTAGAATCGGAAGCAAAATTCGGAATCACAGGATTGGAAATCGCATCCCGCTTCATGGGTCTTAAGATACGATGTGTTCTCGAATAGTGAACGGTTATGTGACTATAATACCCCTAAATTTTTTTCTGGATGCCCTTTTACTGTCGGGGTATAATGGTGAAGCTGAAGTGAGTTTCTTACTCTTTTTCCTTTCACTTAACAAAATTATCTGTAGATGTTTAGCTAACTAAAAATTTTTCTAAGGTTTGTTTGGTTTGTTGATTATTACGCATATTGATTTTTTTTTCTTTAAATATCGATGTTTGAAAAGATATTTTTATATGTTTATTTAAAATAAGATATCACAACTATTAATTATTAAGTATTTTAAATAGTCAAATTAAATAAATAATTACTTTTTTCTATTTAACTCTGAGAAGTTTTTTTCTAATCAAATTATACTTATTCGAGAAAAAAAAAAAAGGGCGTGCATCATGTGTTTTAGGGAATGGAAAAATGTTCTTACTCGTGAAAATTATCATAACGTACTTATTTAAAATTATATTTTTATCTAAATTTTAAAATAATTTATTACTAATAAAGGAGCTTAAAATTTACTATATTTGATAAAAACGCAATACCTAAAAGACCTTCTCTCTTTATTCTAGAACTCTCCAGCTTCCGACTACAACCTCCCACAGTTTTAGTCTCCTTTTGGTGCTTAGAAGCCTTCTAACTTCTTGACCTTTTGATACTTGGAAGCCCTTCAGCTTCTCAAGCATGGTGGAGCTGGCCAATCGTGCTCTTGTGTGTAATGACCACTTTCGGTGGTCTATCAACTTCTTTTGTGGCCTTTTTGGTGGTCTTTGTTTTTATTTTTTTTCTTTTTGTTACTTGTTTCTTGTTTTGTTTTACTCGGATCTGATAGCTAACAAGCCAATAACAAAAAATTTGGGGGAGGACCGCTGCTTGTTTCGATCTCCCAACCACGGCATCCTGAAGAACAAGCATAAACTCTACAAGAATAGATTGAAGAATGTCCAGTTGTTCTGGAACGCTCGACCAAAAAGTTATTTTCTTAGAAGTAGTTTGTATGATTTATGATCACCATCCTTCTTTAAATTTGTCTTCAAACTTAATCTACTCTTAATTTTATCTCCAGCTGTGTTTTTTGTTTTTTCATTTGTTTTTATCAATAATAAGAATTTTTTTGTAGATGTCGTATGACTTTGGTTAAATTCTTCAATTTCTACTGTGTTCAAAAAAAAAAAATACTATATTTGATTTAAGACAAATGGAAGAAGAGAAAATTTTTTATTTAATCAAACTAAAATTTTAACCAACATCTTAATTAGATAAATTCTTTTTACCTTTATTTTTTTAAATCAATTATTATTATCTTTAAACCAAACAAGTTATAATGAGATTAATATTTATTAATTACATATCTGTATTTTGATGACGATTGTAATAATATACCAACAGGAGATTGATAACTTACTTATTGTGATACACAAAGTTTAGACAAATTCTTACATTCCAACTTAATAATAAGACTCTTGATTAAGTAAAAATCACCTTTTTATATATTACGTTTTTAAAGTCCACAAATCTCAATTTTCCATTTTCTCAAATTGTCTTGTTTAAAGAAAAAAAAAAAGTTTTTGATCATGAGCCACGCCAATAGACTGCCAGGCTAGTTCGAAAATCAGATAAATTTAAGTAAAACAAACTTTTAATTCTTTGTTCAGTAAACATTAAAAAAGAAAAAATTCTTTGTTCACTACGATATATTTTTATTAAAAAATAAAATTTTTTTTTTAACATTTTTGTCATGAAACCGACTTGAATCATTGTCTTGGGAGGGATATGAACCTTACAAACGTGATTAGAGCCACTTGGCCCGAAAGATCAAGTTAATTAAAAAAAAAACAATTATTTGCCAATATATTACAAAATAATATATATTTTTAAAACAAATTACAATTTTTTTAAGAAGTGGGAATTTAAACTCAACCAAAAAGTTTGGAGTGCACCATTTAGCATTCGCTTGTAGCTATTTAAGCTAGAAAGTCGTGCATATCACAGAATAATATAATACGTTACGAGTATTACAACATAAATTCAAAATGGAAATGAAAATAAATTCAGGCAGAAGACAAGTATGCCATTATTATGATTTATGATTAAGACATGTTTAAAGATTGCCTTGAGAAGCAGGCATGCGAACCATAATTATGCTTAGATTTTAATTAATCGCTATTAGTAGTATTATCTTCCAGAAATGGGTAATCAGTGTACCCGATGACGGGATCGGGAATATAGAACGTAGCCCTGTTATACCGATTAAGCGGGGCATCCAGCGCGAACCGCCGCGGCAAATCCGGATTTGCGAGGAACAGTCTCCCGAATGCCACCAAATCTGTGTAATTTTCAGCAACCGCCTTGTTCCCGTCTTCCTTGTTGTACCCCCCGGCGGCGATGAAGGTTCCCTTGAAGGCTTTCCTCATAGGCAGGAGGCTGTGGGGAGTTTCTAGCCTGTCGTTCATTCTCACCATCCGGGGCTCGATGGCGTGAAGGTGAAGGATTCCGAATCTGTTCAGAGCATTCGCCATGTAAACGCCAAGTGCTTCTGGGTTCGAATCAACGGCTTCCATGTACCCGGCGAAAGGGGATAACCGCATTCCGACCCGATCCGGTCCGATTTCATTGGCCACGGCTTCCACTACCTCCAGCGGGAACCGGCACCGGTTCTCCAGGCTGCCGCCGTAGTCATCAGTCCTATCGTTCACTTGATCCTTCATGAATTGATCCAGTAAGTACCCATTTGCGCCGTGGATCTCAACTCCGTCGAATCCTGTGAAACAGAGCAGACATATAGTGACCCCATCAAAGAAAGCAGAAGATTTTAGCTGCTCGCAGGTTATCTGGAGTACACGCTATGTTAAGAACCTGCTTCAATTGCATTACGGGCGGCAAGCCTGAAATCATTGACAATGCCGGCAATTTCATCAGTTCTGAGCCGGCGAGGAGGTGACCAATCCATTCCGTCGAGGCCCGGTGTCACTCCCTTATCAGTACAGGAGATTGGAGCTTGACCATTAGGCTGAAAAGCTGCAATTTTTAGAAGCATACAAAACATCAAGAAGCTATTTTTACCGTTTTACTTTTGCAACCATCCGACGTTGAATGGTGGAA